AGACCAAAATTAGTCACAAAATCAAAGGTAAGACTTCATTCATACCATCCCATTCAGCTGAATCTTGAGATTCGTTTTGCACTGCCGATAGCTTTATTTATTTTAAATTATTTGTTTACATTTTTATTTATCCGTTTTTTATATCTGTTTTTGCTTATGATGAATGTTTCATCGTTTTTAATGTGACAGATGTTTTACAGTGTTGTTATTGTTAACTTTAAAACAATTTTAAAAATGCTAATTAAAACAAAGCTAATATAAAAAATACTAGATTAACTTATTTCAGTTTCACCTAACATTTTAATTTTCATTAAATTGAGTTACTAAAACTGAAATAAAAATACATTTAAGCTAAATAAAAAAATAATAACAAAATAACAAAAGCACGTAAAAATGACTAAAACTAAAATATGAAAATTGAAAATATAAAAATAACAGTGAATTCAAAATAGAATAAATATTACTAAAATAATACTGGCTGTACACTGTATTTACGGTCTTAATTTGAAGTATAGTGGCAAAGCATGTGTATGTGTGCAGCACAATGGAGTCAAACTTCCCCTCAGGCACAATTCAATATCAATTCAATATCAATTTCAACTGAATATATCCAACTATTTAAATACCCAGCCCTTTGAATTGCACAAACAATCCTGATGTGCTATAGATAGACAAAAACAACAGGCAGTGAGAACACAAACCTTGCGAGGAGTGTTTCGCTGCAGCCTGCGGATGACATCCAACCCGGCCCACATCCAAGTGTGACGTCACAAACCACGCCCATGTCAAAATACATAACATTCTCATTCATTTTGAAACAAGAAGAAGCATCGATAAGAAGATAATTCGTATTGTTTGCCAACCGCTAAAAAAAGTTGTTGTTTGCCGTGTCGGTAAGTAAAAAAATATATATTTGGTCTAAATCGGATGAAGCAAGAGATGTCTTTTTATTCTTTGAGTATCTGGAGGAGCTGGACATATTCATATCAAATTGTTTTGATGAACAAGCCCTAAAGGTCCATGCCATGTTCTGTGAATAATCTATCAGAGCAAGGAATCTCTCTGTGTAGTCTATGTGTGCATTTATGTATGTATGTGTGTGTACTGCATGTCAAGAACTGTTTTTCTGATCATTCAACTGTTCATTCAGCTGCTCAGACTTTATAATAGTTGGAACATATCTTTTGTTAAACACTACCAGTCAAAAGTTTTTGAACAGTAAGATTTTTAATGTTTTTTTTTAAAGAAATCTCTTCTGCTCACCAAGCCTGCATTTATTTGATCCAAAGTACAGCAAAAACAGTACAATTTTAAAATGTTTTTAAGTTTTAAGTAAGTTTTCTATTTGAAACAGTTTTCTATATTTCTATTAACATGTAATTTATTCCTGTGATTTCAAAGGTGAATTACTCCAGTCGCATGATCCTTCAGAAATCATTCTAATTTTCTGATTTGCTGCTCAAAAAGCATTTATTATTATTATTATGTTGAAAACAGCTGAGTAGATTTTTTTCAGGTTTCTTTGATGAATAGAAAGTTCAGAAGAACAGCATTTATCTGAAATAGAAATCTTTTGTAAAATTATAAATGTCTTTATCATCACTTTTGATCAATTTAAAGCATACTTGCTAAATAAAAGTATTAATTTCTATACCCTAATCCCCACCCCCCTTTTATTTCAGATAAATGCTGATCTTTGATCTTTCTATTCATCAAAGAATCCTGAAAAATTGCACTCAGCTGCTTTAAATATTGATGATAATAATAATAATCAGTAATGTTTCTTGAGCAGCAAATCAGCATATCAGAATGATTTCTGAAGGATCATGTGACTCTGAAGACTGGAGGAATGATGCTGAAAATTCAGCTTTGATCACAGGAATACATTACATTTTAAAATATATTCAAATAGAAAGCAGTTATTTTAAATAATAAAAAATATTTCACAATATTACTGTTTTTGCTGTATTTTGGATCAAATAAATGCAGGCTTGGTGAGCAGAAGAGACTTCTTTAAAAAAACATTAAAAATCTTTCTGTTCTAAAGACTTTTGACTGGTAATGTATATTTTTTGTAAAATTTTATATTTCATTATTTTTGTAAAATAATAAATAAATACCCAATGAAACAATGGATGTCTTTAAGTATGCGGAAGACCTGGACACGTTTCATATCAAGTTGTGATGAACAGGGCCTGAAGGTCAATGCCATGTTAGTTATATAATCTATCTTTATTCAGCGTGTGTGTTGCCTACTGCATATGGAGAACTGTTGATTCTGTCATTCAAATATTAACGCTTTATGATAAGTGGAACACATCTTTAGAAAATTAAATGACAATTATACAATACCAACTTTTACAATAATTTTACATACAATTTACATACCAAAATCTAATTGTCCCCTTTAAATATGATACATTTTAATTTTGCCTTGGGTAGGTCAAAATCGATCGTAATAAATGTGAATTTATCTCATTACATAAATAAACAAGGTAAGGTTTAAAAGTTTTAATTAACAATTAGCCTACTTTAATCAATGCAAGCGTTTTACAGGCTGTTGTGATGACGAAATCAGCTCCGTATATTAGACCTATTAAATATTAGATTTAAGTTGTGGCATTTTAGCCAAGACATCCTTTACAAAAATAAGAAAACGTGTATTAGTAAAACGAAGGACAACATTATTTGATTTAGATCCTCTAAACCTCCATAAATTGCTTCGACATACTTCTGGGTTTCCCCGGTACGGGGATGGGGAAAGCACAAGGTGACGTATTTGATATGGGCGTGGCTTCCATCGTCACACTCGGACGTGGGCGGGGTTGTATCGGGGATGGGCGTGACTTTCGACGTCACACGTGGATGTGGGCGGGGTTGGATGTCCACCGCAGGCCGCAGCGAGCCCTACTTGGACCTTGCTGCATTGTATCCAGAGAACAACAATGGTTGACTACGCAGATTTACAGCACTGGCCTCTGCTTAACAGCTGTCATCGTCGCACTCTGTCTGTGTTTGAAAACCTAGAGGGTTTAGGCCTACACTGATAGCACTTCTGAGTATCAAGACGCACCTATAATGCTGTCTAGCTAGGCAGCTCAGTGTGTTTTGAGACGCAGCCTCTCTGTGTATGTTTGTTTAGTGGCTAAAGCGGGTTACGTAAGCGGCGCTCGCGGGGACGGGTACCTGTCGGCGAGCAGCAGTAGCAACAAGCTTCACTTCATTCTTCGCATCTCTCTCGTTTCTCTTTTCATCTTTCCACTAATTCTGAAATAAATATTAACGTAATCCAGCGTTCGTATGCGTCTATTAAATTTCAACCTGACAAAAAGGCCAAAGCCTCTGTAAATGCACTCATGTAACCTCGTTAAAAAATATAAGATTAATGATTATTAAATTCAGAGTGGTGTTTTAAAGTCTGCGTGAACCGGAAGTTGCTGCTGACTTTATTTCAGTGTAGTGACGTATTTCCAGCTGAAACAGAATATTGAATAGAGGGCATGGTTTTATGTTTGCGCTCCTGCTCTCTCGCTATTCGGACTGAAGGAGGCCTCACATTTATGAACGAACTGAATTGGCTTGCCATTCTTGGTTGTATGCTGAAAATGTATTATAAATCTATTCAGATTACTTTTTTAACCTAACTGATAAAATAATGCCCAGCAGTCGACAAATATGGAGGCGAAAATGACAATTATTAAATCATTTGGGATTTTTGTTGCGACTCAGCAGATCTCTAGACACAAACTTCAATATAGCGTAATAAGATTTGTGAAAGACTCGGTGTTCAAACGAATCGGCTGAGTAAATGATTCAATGACTCACGCATAACTCAAAGGGAACTTGTCGCCACCTACTGTACTAACAAAGTAACCTGTAGCAATGTTGACTGAGCGAACTAATTAGAATCTTTAAACTAAATTAAAATCCCAGCTGCAGTGCTGTCATTCTCCTACAGTTTCCGCACACACGTGTGTGGGTTTGTAATCTAATATGGCATTCATTTGGACGTGGTTTTGCGAGGAGCGAGATAGATGAGAAGAGAGAAGCCTCTACAGAACCCGTTTCTCACCGAGAACTATTAACTCCATCCATTGTACCAGATCTAATCCAGAGAGGGCAGCTAAACCAAATCAATACTTCAAACTTGGCCTATTCAAAACACATTGCACACTCGCAGTCTCAAAATCTAGGCTAGACAACAACCTAGTGATCTGCCTACCTAGACAACATTTGGGCACCTATGATGGCCCAAAATTATCCTTCGATACACATACTGTTAGGCTTCAGCGTGTGTGTGCGTGCGTCCAAAAAGAGTCAAGAATGGTTCTGAGTTTACAAGAAAATACCAAAATTACACGTTAATCCCAGCACAGTAGATTATGCAAGAAACGGGTTGTTTATCCCCCTCCCTCCACTCAAACATCACAGCTTCATTCTATAACCACACATGATACAGACGCTTCAATAAAGTAGCATGTTTAACACTGGACACTAAAACGGAAGATATGGACAGCAAAAGTAACCGTGTGGGTTCAAACGAATCTCAGTGTCACGCATGAATATTTTACGCATTTGAGCGCATTTTCCAAACACAGAGTCATCCCTTTCCACGCACAGCTTGTGAAAAAAAATATTTAGTCTGGGTTTGACGGGGCAGAGTATGATAGTAGTGTGTATACAGGCTAACATATACCAGCGTTTTAATGTAAAAACGCATTCCAGCGGTGTGCAATCAAAAGATACTGGACACTGTTATTTGCAATAAAACATACGAATGACATCATAACGCTTCCATACAGATTAAAATTAGTTTTTTCATTACAACATTATGTGATGCATCACATCTAAACAGAAAAGACACGCGTTATCTATATTCTAGTATATAGCTATACTAGTAAATCTGTGGATAAAGTGAAATCACAGCATGCACTAAGTGGCACTTGCGCGAGGTTTATTAAAGAAAAAAACACACACATCAGCTGATGTTACACATTCACTTGAAAGCTTCCCCACCTTGCAGAGCTGGAAGTGTGCAGACTGGAGCGTCTCCGGGATGAGCTCGTTCTCCTTGGCCCCGAGCTGCGGGGATGGAGAAGGGGACGACACGGCCGTCAAGCCGTCCAGCACCTTACGAATATTAAACTTCTTCATTTTCCCCCCGGTGCGAGAGACGGAGGGGGACGGGAGCACCGAGTCGAGATCAGCCGTGGATGATGAGAGGGAAAGCCGCTCTCGCTCGTTTCTGCAGCACGTCTCTTTAAACCTCACATTTTAAGTGTTTTTCACCGTGTCCTCCATGGCTAAAAGCTTGGGTTGCGAATGTTGATATTTTTTGCTTTTTATTAGCGTTTGTGGGGTGTCCGTTTATTCTGACTCGGCGTCCCGCTGCGTCTCAAATTCCCTCTTATCCTCTCTCGCTCGATCCCTTCTGCTCTCCACTCAACGCGGAAACACCGCTGCAGCGCCGCGCATGCGCACTCCAGACTGGATGACTACTGTTTACATCAAGACTAGCAATGTGCGCTAGTAAAGTAAATAAAGTGCATTTTGATTTCACGCGGACTTTAAGAAACAACTGTATCAATATCCTGCGTCACCATTTTTCTAAAAACGGAACAATATGTGAAAATTCCCTTCTCTTCATAAATCGTTTGCTTAATAATAACACACTTAAAGATAATACCATGCAAGCTCTTGAAAATAATTAATGTGGAATAGATTTGAAAACATTCTTCGTAGAATAATTATTAGATTAGGATTCTTGTTACAAACGCGTTACTTTTTCCTGCCTTCAAAGACTGACAGCAGCGCGAGCAAATAGCTTTCGAGCGCGGGCTGTGAAGAAGCCGTTTATTGGTTGGGCCTACTAAACGAATACGCCCCCTTCAATAAAGAAGTCGCTATTCGGACTGAAGGAGGCCTCACATTTATTATTATTATTATTATTATTATTATTATTATTAACTGAATTGGCTTGCCATTCTTGGTTGTATGCTGAAAATGTATTATAAATCTATTCAGATTACTTTTTTAACCTAACTGATAAAATAATGCCCAGCAGTCGACAAATATGGAGGCGAAAATGACAATTATTAAATCATTTGGGATTTTTGTTGCGACTCAGCAGATCTCTAGACACAAACTTCAATATAGCGTAATAAGATTTGTGAAAGACTCGGTGTTCAAACGAATCGGCTGAGTAAATGATTCAATGACTCACGCATAACTCAAAGGGAACTTGTCGCCACCTACTGTACTAACAAAGTAACCTGTAGCAATGTTGACTGAGCGAACTAATTAGAATCTTTAAACTAAATTAAAATCCCAGCTGCAGTGCTGTCATTCTCCTACAGTTTCCGCACACACGTGTGTGGGTTTGTAATCTAATATGGCATTCATTTGGACGTGGTTTTGCGAGGAGCGAGATAGATGAGAAGAGAGAAGCCTCTACAGAACCCGTTTCTCACCGAGAACTATTAACTCCATCCATTGTACCAGATCTAATCCAGAGAGGGCAGCTAAACCAAATCAATACTTCAAACTTGGCCTATTCAAAACACATTGCACACTCGCAGTCTCAAAATCTAGGCTAGACAACAACCTAGTGATCTGCCTACCTAGACAACATTTGGGCACCTATGATGGCCCAAAATTATCCTTCGATACACATACTGTTAGGCTTCAGCGTGTGTGTGCGTGCGTCCAAAAAGAGTCAAGAATGGTTCTGAGTTTACAAGAAAATACCAAAATTACACGTTAATCCCAGCACAGTAGATTATGCAAGAAACGGGTTGTTTATCCCCCTCCCTCCACTCAAACATCACAGCTTCATTCTATAACCACACATGATACAGACGCTTCAATAAAGTAGCATGTTTAACACTGGACACTAAAACGGAAGATATGGACAGCAAAAGTAACCGTGTGGGTTCAAACGAATCTCAGTGTCACGCATGAATATTTTACGCATTTGAGCGCATTTTCCAAACACAGAGTCATCCCTTTCCACGCACAGCTTGTGAAAAAAAATATTTAGTCTGGGTTTGACGGGGCAGAGTATGATAGTAGTGTGTATACAGGCTAACATATACCAGCGTTTTAATGTAAAAACGCATTCCAGCGGTGTGCAATCAAAAGATACTGGACACTGTTATTTGCAATAAAACATACGAATGACATCATAACGCTTCCATACAGATTAAAATTAGTTTTTTCATTACAACATTATGTGATGCATCACATCTAAACAGAAAAGACACGCGTTATCTATATTCTAGTATATAGCTATACTAGTAAATCTGTGGATAAAGTGAAATCACAGCATGCACTAAGTGGCACTTGCGCGAGGTTTATTAAAGAAAAAAACACACACATCAGCTGATGTTACACATTCACTTGAAAGCTTCCCCACCTTGCAGAGCTGGAAGTGTTCAGACTGGAGTGTCTCCGGGATGAGCTCGTTCTCCTTGGCCCCGAGTTGCGACGATGGAGAAGGGGACGACACGGCCGTCAAGCCATCCAGCACCTTACGGATATTAAACTTCTTCATTTTCCCCCTGTGCGAGTGACGGAGGGGGACGGGAGCACCCGAGTCGAGATCAGCCGTGGATGCTGATGGGGAAAGCCGCTCTCGCTCGTTTCTGCAGCACGTCTCTTTAAACCTCACATTTTAAGTGTTTGCCGTGTCCTCCATGGCTAAAGGCTTCGGTTTTGAACGTTGATTTTGTTGATGTTGTTTTTTATTAGCGTTTGTGGAGTGTCCGTTTATTCTGACTCGGCGTCCTGCTGCGTCGCAAATTCCCTCTATCCTCTCTCCCACTCTCTCTCTCTCTCGATCCCTTCTGCTCTTCACTCAACGCGGAAACATCGCTGCAGCGCCTCGCATGCGCACTCCAGACTGAATGACTATTGAAGCCGCCTTCCAAACGCTTTTCCCGGTGACCAGGCAAGACTGTGGAGCGCTGAGTGAGACTAGCGTCACATTGCAGAAATGAGGGGCGGGACTCTGCACCTGGAGTGGAGCCGCAGGGATGCAGGATGGAAAGCGCATCAGCTAACACATAACAGTCATAATATGCATCACTTCTTTAGGTTAGCCTGCACGCTGTAAAATAGATTTGATAGGGGAAATATTTTTTCAAATTATGACTATTTTTAAGGTTAATTTCTCCATAGGCACATATCTCACATTTTTGGCTACAAAAAGATATCCATGGTTGTTCTCTAGGAAGAAACAGGGCTCTCACGGTCATGGAAAATCTGCACATTTCAGGGAGTTTCAAAACTGTGAATTTCAGGCCTACATATAAAATGATTCACAGAAATGTCTTGAGACGATATACATTTCTAGTTATATTCAGCTCTAAAATATTTAATTGGGTTGAAGTCTATATTATATATATATATAAAAAATCGTATGTAATCTGAATCACTGTAAAAGTCATGGCAAAGTCACGGAAATTCGTTGGTCAAAATGTGTGGAGTGCTGCAAAAAGATTAATCGAACACGTTGATCATTTATGACATTTCCAATAGTGTGTCAGACTATGGGATAAGTTGTCACAATGGAAACTGCCATTAGATAACATTTTATTGTAAACAGCATATTATTGTTGTATCACTGAAACGTGCATTTTCTGTAAAGCTGCTTTGAAACTATTTGTATTGTGAAAAGCTCAATAGATGTGAATTTATTATAGTCTTTAAGCTACATTTAAACAGGACAACTATTCAAGATAACAAAAATATTAAATTGTTTTTGCAAAGGAAAACTGCAAGTATATAAAATGTATTTATAAAAACACACTCTTGTCTGAATGTATATCAGTGTGGCTTCATTGTGTTAAATTGTTTACACAAAAGCTGTAACTATAAATATGGATATGCAAATGTTAGTTTGGATATAATTTCTCATTTAGAGTTTGAAATCAACATGAATCCACCACTAGAGAAAACAATAATTTGTGCAATTGCAATTAGACTTTTAACTAGACTTATAATCTGAAAACAGACCATTATAAAGGTTTGCCAACTATCTAGCTCTGTGTTTAATTTGGTATGTCTGATGTGAGATAGAGAGGGTCAGAAAGTAGAGGTCACAATGGCTCAACAATCAGTCTTGCCACTGCTGTTTAGGAGTGCGTCGCTAGTAATTGATTCGGACATGTGCCCTTGTTTAATGAAGGCCAAGTTTACTCTTTGCGATCAGCAAGCAATGTCTTTCTGGTTGAGGCCAGTTTGTCTCTGTCGATGAGATGATATTAGACTCTATCATATCATCGACAGAGACAAACTATAGATATCATATCATCCAATGTTAGTTTTTTAAAACCTATAGGACCTTGTAGCAAATTACAATGTTATAACTCAATAACAGAAAAATAACTGCTATAAATTTAAATAATATCTAAATAAATGACCCCAAATAACATTTCCCCTGTTTTTATAATACAGCATTTCAGAGAGGTGTTTTACAAATACATATCCTGGGTCTGTTATAGTTTAAGATTTAAATAAAGAAAGGTCCCTGTAGGTCAACCAGCACAGCATGATGCTAGCAAGCCCAAGGTTATGGGTTTAAATCACAGGGAATAAACAAACTAAAAAATGTTTAACTTGGATTCAGTTGTAAAAGATAAAATCAGCAATAAAAAGCCAATGCATACATGTACATTTAGGATCACTACTCACAGTTTAGATTACATATCATAACAAAATAGGGTATTATGGTTTGAATAGTGACTTTAAAAATTTTGTCATAGTATATGTAAATAACGTCACCTAGTACCCATGACAACCACACTGATGAAGACAAACACTAGGCCTTCACCGAGGTTTGGAGATCCCTTTGATTCTCTACCCTTTCATACTGTAACGATGGAGATAAGCATCACATGCATTTCCTTATCAGGCCCTGGGAGAGGCTGAAGAGAAGAGACCCTGATAAGGTAAGGGCCGTCCTCATGTACGTATGAGGCACTGACCAATCACCTGCTCACTACAAACACAAAACACTCCATAAACCACACACTGGAACATCAATGACTTCATGTTTCACAATCACACTGTTCCCTTTTATTCATGATAATAAAGAGAAAGAGTTTAGTATTCAGCATTAAGTGGGTATGTGATTTGTAAGCTTTGATAAGACC